GAGCTCAAATAGTCCTTCAGGATTGCATCTTGCTTGTTTTGCGTTGATTGTGCTCAGGCATCCACTTCAGATTCGACTTCGGAGTCGGCTTCAGGGTCAGGTTCAGGTTCAGGTTCAAAGATTCGGGTTCAGCTAAGCCTGTGAAGCGGGAAAATTCTCCGTCCCGTCCCTTTCAACCTTCAATTCATGATGTTTTGCTTGGCTGCTGATTGTTTTTTAGATTGTCGTTATTATTTTGGGCCTTCAGGGAGCCTTCTGTGTGTTTCTTGATATCAACTTTTTACCGTTTTTGATTCAGGGTTAGATTCTTGGTGGGTTGACTATGACGACGACGATATGATGATGATATGATAATGTTGGGAGTTATGCTGATGATCATGATCCTAATATTTCTAGGTACGATGGATGCATGACGAATTGATTGATAGGATACTTACTGTAGGAGGGAAATTTTGTATCCATGCCGTCGCTTCAACGTTCCCAACAATTTACTAGTAGTTTTCATGCACTTTGCCCAAGCTAATCATAACAGGTGTGAGTGGTAGTTCGATAAAATCCAGTTCGTGATTGTTAGTGTTATTGTAGTTGTTGTGTCTCCCTCAGTTTTTGACTGGGCCTTGGGATCTATATGATGTTTCTATCCAATATGCAGACGCATGTGTCCGGGTGCGAAAACACTACAACGTACATACAACATACATTACCCGATCTGCAAGAGCTGGTTTTGATGAATCGAGACTCCAGAAGTATTGAGTTTCGGATGAACGAACATCAGGGCGATCTTCAGCCCTAACGCTCACTTTTATTATTTATTCAGTGCTAGAGCGAATCAAGTAAAAACCCGGAATTGGCGGGCTACATTCACCTGCTCGAGGGAGGTTATGGTACCTATCAAATGTTCCACCGGTGTTTCGGAGACTCCTCGGGACGAAATGGACCGCGGTTGCGAGATACATATGGAAACAAGTAACCAAGTAACTACATGACCTAGGAAAAAAGAAACCCAAACCGAGATTTGACGGCACGCAGAGCGGCGCATGCATCCCATTCCTCCTGTCTTAGTTGATGCTGATGGAACGATTTTGGCATCTAATGGCGCGAAGACTTGCAGGAAAAAGCTAGCTATCCCCAAGGTCCTTTTCAATCTTGATAGCTACTAGTTAGTGATGTATATCGAATGAGTAGTACCATGCCCTTGGTGTCTCAAAAGAAGCTGTCAACTTCCAATCAATTGCTAGACGCTTCGTATGGATATAGATCTCGAGACAACCAAGCTTCGCGTCTATTACGCTGCAATATTACTTCTTCCTCCCCAACCCTCGAGACGAAGCCGGTTAGTTAATTACAGATCATATTCGCTTCTTTGCCTGCCAAACACCTTTCGGCTCGGTTTGTCCCTTCTCCAACCCTTCAGACCTAGAAACCCGTTCTCGGGTTGATTTAAAAGAGCCTCGTTTATATCAAGTAACGCCTCCATCCGTATGTATATAGATTGGCTATAGTAAGGTGGATTGCCTGGAGTCACATAACTCTGGGGTTGGAGTGTTAACATTGAAGGGGAGCCACAAAAGAAAACGCCAAGCAAGTCATTTTTTTCTTTCTTTCTTTCTTATCTTTCTTTTTTTCTTTTTCTTCTTTTTTTTTTTTTCGAACAGCCGGCTTGATCTACCTACCTCATGTAGATTCAAATAATGATGAACCATAGAAAAAAGAAAACCAGGGACAAGAAAGTTTTCCTTTTCACTCCTCCTTTTTTCATTTCTTTTTCCTCTGAAGGTTGAATCAAGTACGGAACACGAATCAATGGTGGTTATCACCGGAACATAATAATCTTGCTGCTTGATTCCCCCTCCTCTTCCCTTTTAATTTTTCGTATTGATAGATAGATGGCATTGTTTTTCGCCATCAGTTTCGGAACACGGGTCAAGCCCGTCTCATATTCCGTTATGGAGTACTCCGTAGCCGGGTCATTGATACCGACCGAAGTTTGCAATTTGATGTATTAGTAGGACATCGTCGTTGGTTCCGAGGAAGAGGTAAAATTCTTTACAGCTAGTTAACTAACCGGGCTACTAAACGGCAGTATGACAATAATATAACCATCATATAATACTATGCGATACTAAGGATGGAAAATAATTGGTGGCGGGAGAAATGGGGAACTGCCGGTGCAGACATGTATTCTATATGGAGTAACTTTAACTCTGGGATAAAAAGCACCTGAATCCTAAGAGGCGAAAAAAAGCAGAAGACCGAGAGAGAGTTATTTTTTATTGTACGCCGATACCGCAGGAGTATTGTTGAGGCGGCCGCAAGGTCAAGTTCTTGGGTCGTTGTCACGCTGCGATCTTTCATGAGGACTTATTGTTGCTGTAATTAATAATGACATTATCAACAATTATATCCTGTACTGGTATTCTTCGAGTTCTTCAGCGCTGTTTTATTTGAGTTTTCCCCATCTCATATCCTCCCTGCTATTGCATTAGTTAGCTAGTCAAGACTAGTTTCGGTGGTTAGTTTCTGTTCTCAATATTTCTATTCGCCCCATCACCCGTCCATGCGTCCGTCCTCTCTCTCTCTCGCGACTGCCAGCATTCCCCCAACCATTGTCCCCTCGTCGGTTGCTGTCCTCCTCAGTCCCCTCCGCCGTCTGCTCTATTTCCGCTCTCTTTTGCAGCGCTGTTCGGCAAAACACCCATCTAAATCTTTTCGACCTTCCCGATATCCCCTGCGGAATTGCGAACGGACGGAACAACCTCAGTAATCTTACACATGTCTGGCTGGGCTGGCGCAATAGCCAGTAAACTAGTAATAATAACCACCAAGCCCTTCTCCATCACAGCTGGTGGGGAGCTTTGAGGCAGCGCTGTCGCAAGTTCATCGTTCAGTCATCCCCTCCCCTTCGTTCATCCTTTGCTCCCCAATGCCCGCCAGTGCTATCAACAATCCTTCCTCCCGTCCTATTCTTTACCGTTGCACCACCTCCTCCACCACCACAGCCACCAACGTTACCTCCACCGTTATTGATCCCATCCCCATCCGCATCCCCATCCCCAAACTGCAGCCGACTTATCAAAATCCCCCCGTTCACTCCGCTGCCTGTCCACCTCGATATCGTCGGTCCCCCGGCAAGGCTCTGTTTCCATTGCAGTCAACTCCAGCCGCAACAGCAGAAGCAGATACATAGATTTAGCTACTATCATTCTACCTCCCACCCTCCCCTCCCTCCTCCTCCTCCTCCTTTCCCCATTCCTCTCTCTCACTCTCCTCCACACTGCCCTCTCATCCTCTAACCCTGATGAGGCTCGGGGCGCTGTGAGTCCCTGTCGCTGTCCGAAAATACCTATACACGGTGACATCTGGTTGGTAACTCTCCAATCAGCGGTTCCGACATCTTCTTACCTTCGCCATCACCAAAAAAAAAAAAAAAATAAAATAAAATAAATAAATAAATAAATAAATAAAAGAAAAAAAGAACAAGAAAAAGAAAAAGAAAGCTGCTATTTACCGTCTAACACTCTCAGGCACCAAGCCTCCAAAACTCGCTTCTTTCTCTTCTCTCGTTCTCCACTCCCGCGCTTCCTCCGCCTTCATCCCTCCGCCATCTTCTCTCTCTATCCTTTCACTTTCTCTTCTCTCCACCTTCCACAACATTTCCTTACCTTCGTTTTGGGAAGATTTAAATTCTTTCGTTTGTCCTCTCACCCCTTGGGGCTTATTTGCAGGGCTCTTTGATTTTAGCCAATTTGTTTGTTCAATTTTTGTTCCGGTTTTTTTTTCTTTTTCCCTCCTACTTTCGTTCCTATTGTTTGTCCCGATCTTATCTCCACGAGGCCCAGAACCTTTCACCCTCACCCACCCTCTTTGAGGATAGATTGTGTAAAAAAAAAAAAAAAATAACAAAATTCTCCCGCCGCATCATAATACTTTAAAACAAAACATGGCACTGGAGAGTAGTACCCCAACAGGTGGTGGTGCTCCTGCAGGTAACTCCAGCGATTTTGTAAGATTTTCCTCCCTTTCCCACACTTCCTGTATGGGACGTCTTATTTGCCGTTCTGTCTAATTGCGAAATGATGCATCGCTAACTCTTCCTCTTTTTTTTAAATTCACAGGTCCGAAAGCTCTACAAGTAATAACCCTTTTCCCTTCTTCCCCCCTTCCCCTACCAGAATCCTTGACGACCTTGTCCTACGGATCGCATGCAGAGAGAGTTATAGTTGTATGAGTTGTGGATGCTATCCAGTGTAGTTTCTGACAATGTCTCTGTTGGTAGAATGCTCGAGGATCCGTCGTACTCGCAAATTGTTCGCTGGGGAGACGACAATGACAGCTTTGTCGTATTAGAGGTAAGGCGGACATCTACACCCCATTTTCGTTCTGGCTCGGCGGTCGATAAAGCCCAGTATGCATACGCAATAGTGATTAACGACTCCCATATTTTCTAGTGCGAAAAATTCACCAAATCAATACTTCCGAAGCACTTCAAACATAGTAATTTTGCGAGCTTCGTCCGACAACTCAACAAGTACGACTTCCATAAAGTCCGCCAAAATAATGAAGAGTCTGGTCAATCACCCTACGGACCCAATGTAAGCATTCCCTCCCTTCCAAATCAATGAATTATCCCGTCCCCGTGCATCCTTAATGCACATCAATATTAACAATCTGGTTTTCTTCTAGGCTTGGGAGTTCAAGCACCCCGAGTTCAAGGCCAACAACAAAGAATCGTTGGATAATATTCGGAGGAAAGCCCCAGCGCCACGAAAACCCGCCCAGTTGAACGAGGAAACATTCCATACCCAACAGTTCGACATGCTGAACCAGCAACTTGTAGCTCAGGCCCAGCAGTTTCAACAGTTAAGCGATCGTTTCTCACAATTGGCTTTGGAAAATCAAATGATGCAAACTGAAGTCCGGAGAGTTCAGAAATCTATGTTAAGCCACGAGCAGGTTCTCCACTACATGATGAACTACCTGCATGGCGTCGATGCACGACACAAACGAGAGAGCAGACCACAGGTGTCGTTCCAGGGGACCACCGGGCCAGACTTAAGCCCTTCCCAAGTTGCACCGGCTGAAGAGGAGGCGGCCTCTCCTTTACAGCAAGCCAGCAAAATTCTGAGCGAGCTGAGCAACGAAATCCAAATGAACTTGGGTAGTCTGGAATCTATGACCGACATTCAAAGTCGGCTTCCCGGAGCCGCCCCCACGCCGCCTCTTGATCAGACTCAGCGGAATGGAACGATAAGGCCTCCCACTTCCTCTGGCTCCACATCGTCACTGGGATATTCTAAGCTAAATGGCGAACTGGAACAGCTGGTTTATCCTGTTGGTGCTTCCAATGGGATTGAACCACTGTATAGCGAGCATGTTAACAACATTCCGTATTCCTTCCCCCCTAAAGAGCTCGATCCTAATGACCCAAGGCGACAATACGTGGATGGACGCAAGAAGAGCATGTACGTAAACCCAGGTTGGGTACAGCCTCCGCGCATTCTATTGGTTGAGGATGACCAGACTTGCCGTCAAGTTGGTGGGAAGTTTTTGCTTTCATTCTGTTGCACTGTCGATTATGCGGTATGTATCCCTTCCCAACAAATCATTTTCTTTTATATGTTCTCAGCTTCCTAACATAACTCTAGCTCGATGGCCTCGAAGCCGTTAATAAAATACCAGAAGGTTCTAAATACGATCTCATCTTGATGGATATCATTATGCCGAATCTTGATGGCGTTTCCGCTTGCAGTATAATTAGAAGGGTTGACACTACTCCGATAATCGCCATGACATCGAATATTCGCAGCAGCGACATTGAGCTTTATTTCCAGC